TAGCACGGTATGTGATGCAAAATAAAAGCTTAATAAATATTTGGGTGAGCATATAAATAAATGAAGAATCACAGCTTTTGTTTTTGTTTTTTTTTTAAAGATTTTATTTATTTATTTGACAGAGAGAGAGAGAGCACAAGCAGTCAGAGAGGCAGGTAGAGGGAGAGGGAGAAGCAGAAAACTCTCCGCCGAGCAGGGAGCCCGATGTGGGACTCGATCCCAGGACCCCAGGATCATGACCTGAGCCGAAGGCAGACGCTTAACCAACTGAGCCACCCAGGCGCCCGAGTCACAACTTTTGATTCACTAATCAGAAAAGGCTCCATCTGTTCTTCTATCTCAAATGGCACATTAGGTAATTAAACTGATAAAAGTTTTGCAGTAGGTGATCCCATGCCGTTAACCACCGAAGGAACGGCGATACCTGAGACAGAACTATTAGCAAAAGCCACACTCTGGACTCCCCATGACAGCAGGTGACCTAGGATTTCTGCACAGTGACCCACACTCTGTCATGTACTGACATCACTCTGTAAGTGAAAACATGCATCACTTTCTGAAAGAAAGCCCACGAATCCTTCATGCTGTGGCCAGAGGAGGGAATGTGTCTGAAGCCCACATGTGGGGGCTGCTTGGCTAGACCCCAGAGGCCCATCAGGCCAGCTTCCTGAGCGCTCTGTTTCTGAATATTGACACAGCCAAAGTCAATTTCTCATGCAACGCAAAAACAGCTCTTTATTTCTCCTTTTTCTCATGCTTCTTAAAAAGAAAAATGACAAGTCTGGAGGGAAAAAATGATTGACCTCTAATTGGGAATCACAACCACTAATTACAAATGCTTGAACGGTCAAAATGCTCTATACATCAGAAAAGGAAAGAGGAAATAAAAATTTGTACAAATGCAGAAAAATGTCCTAAATCAGAAACAAGGCTTACATTATCCTATCCCAATTTGTTGAGGAAACTAGGGGCAGAGGTGCCTGGGGCAAGGAGGAACCCTCTGGCTGCCCGTATGGGCCCTGAGCAGATATGTTCCCAGGTCTGGGTGGGCATGCAAAACGGGGAGGGGGCAGGAATCACAGGGATTTGCTTGGATATTCATGGGACCTAAGATGATCCCGCTTGCTTCCAGGCATAGGCCTGGGCCTGGAGTTGAAGAGAAAGACAAACACCACATCCTCAGGCAACTTCTGCATTTTGAACAACGTGGATGCATTACCTATTAGCAATAACTTAAAATTATTTTCAAAAATATTTTGCATCCGTTTATAGAGGATTGAATAGGGTCCTTGATAAATTTATGTCTACCCAAAACCTCAGACTATCATCTTATTTGAAATAGGGTCTTTACAGGTATAATTAAGGATCTTGAAGTGAAATCACATGATTAGGGTGGTAGAATAAACTTTCGTTGCTTAAGTCACCAAGCCTGGTAACTAATCCACTACCGATGTTCCCTGCGTCACCTTGGTCTCTAGTAAAGAAATGCCCTGGAAGTATAATTAATGAAACACGTTAATTAACGTCCATCATACATTTGTACCCATTTGCAGTAAAAAAGGGAGGGCCCTTCCCAAAGCCGGTGGGCACATAACATTACGTGGCTGTTGCCCACCTGGCCACTCAGGTGAACAACAGAGGCCACAGAAAGCAAAGGAGGTTTTTGTAAACACACGACTGATGTGTCCTTCACATTCTTCCCGAAGAGTAGTCTTTGGCCACCTTGAGAAGATGGGTTCAATTCGCTGTTAAAGGCTTTAAACTTTAAATTTAGGGAAAGCACATCATTTCAAGATTTAAACTTGGCAACAACAACAAAAAGCCAGGACAGCCTGAACTCAGGTCCTACATGGGGGCGAGTGTTTACAAACGGCACGCCCGGTGTGACGGGAATCCAAAACACATATGTGTTCAGTCGGGTTTAGAGGACAGCAAACACTGGAGGGAGGAGAGGACAGTCATGACATTTTCTTTAAATCTTCTTTTTATTTACACAGCGTGACTTTTTTTTTTTAATTAAGATTTTTTTTTATTCTTATGTTAATCCCCTACATTACATCATTAGTTTTAGATGTAGTGTTCCATGATTCATTGTTTGTACACAGCGTGACTTTTTAAATGAGTAAGTGCTGTTCGAAGGTGTTTGGAGCTGAGATGAACAGCCCGGGGCACCCGAGAACCTCTCTGCACACTGCTGAACTGACCACAGTGTGCGCTCACGTACAACATGGGCCCCCACGGCCGGAGGCTGCGCTCGCTGGAGACAGGGTTCTGGACGGGTTGGTGGATGTCTTCTGTAGAGGGCGGGGGAGCCCACACTTTAGGTCCTCTGACACTGTCGCTCAGGTCTGCCCACGCAGCACGGAAGTATCCACAGACGACGCATGAAGGAAGGAACGTGGCTGTGTTCCAATAAAACTTTATTGACAAGAACAGGCAGTGGCGGGGCTTGCCCACCTCTGGCTAAGACAAGCAAGTGACCCTCATTTGGAGAAACTGATGGCACTGATGTCCAGACATCCCAAAGGGATAAAGAAACCGTAGAATACATCTGTCTTCTCCGCTCACGTTCTAAGACTAAAGAAATGCTGTACGGGAAAACAGTTCGGGTGTTCCTCAAAAGATTAAACAGAACTACCGTATGATCCAGCTACACTGGAAGCTCCGGGCTGTAAATGCTGGTCTATCCAGATACTGGAAAGTAACTGAGTCGTAACGAGGGTTTGGTCAGCACACAGGCTGTCACCTCAGATCAGAGAGACTAAGAATTCCAAGAGGAACAAATGCTTTAAAAACCTATCAACGCCCTGTTAGAATTCCAGCTTGTCGATTGTAATCCCAGGTTCCCGTGGACTTGGGCCCCACGGCTGCAGTACACCCATCACTGCCTGTCCTTCGAGCGTCTGTATACACAACACCAGCACGGTCAGCCCCGCACAGAGCCAGACGCTCACGAGGGCAAGACCTCACACTGACCTATCGAGGCGAAAACCACTGAAAAGTAAGGTGTGTGTGGTGTGTGTGTGTTTGTGCACGTGTCCAAGACCACTGTGGCACCAGACTTCTGCCCCGTGGGGGACGTGGCTGCGTTCCCATGGACAGGACCCGCTGGCCAACTCTCCAGAACAAAGCTGTGGGCTTAGCCTTCTGGGATGAGCCTGCTCCAGCTAAGTGGAGAGGACAAACGGCTCTTTATAAGGGGCACTGTCATGTCATTGCCATGTAATTGCACATGCACCGGTTGAGTGCCTCCTATGGACCAGGTGTTGGAGCCGACTGAGAGCGAAGCAGGACAGAAACAGGCTCTGCCCAGCCCAGGGCTTCAGTTCTCGGATGAACCTGTGGGGAGGGGTGAGTAGTATTAGCCCCTAGGGGGGAACATGCCCCCAGGGATCCTTGGCCGTGTCTGGAGAGATTTCTGGTGGTCACGACCAGGATGAGGGTGCTCCTGGCACCCAGGGGGAGGGGGCCAAGGATGCTGCACCCTGCAGTGCCCTGGACAGCCAGGCACAGAGAAAAATCTGTCCTGAGGGCCAGCACTGCCGAGGGGGAGAACCCGCCTAATGTCACAGATCTATCCTGCAGTCGTCTGGGACTGAAATCTAGACAGGTAATTACCACCCTCAGAGAATCTGCACGCAACACGGTTCAATTCAAATACAACACATTATGTTGCACATCTATGTGTTTCCGTCTCTGTGAGGCCTGGCTGCACCTGAACCCGGGCATGGGTCCCGGAAGTACTGGAAGCACTGAGGAAGAAAGGTCTTTACTCCAGCGGAACTAGCAGAATCCCACCTTCTCCCAGGATGAAGTGCTCCAGGGAACGGCATTTCTTCTTTTCCTTCTCCTGGGCTCTGTGCTGGGGATCTGGGTCCCACAGTCAGGACCCCCAAGGCCAGGACTATGTGCCCAGTGCCTGAGCATGGCTCACAGAGCTGCCCGTGGGCTGGGGGGTCATCCAGTTTTCCACGAGCACGATGCTGCTCAGACCCTCACTGGCGCCAGCCCGGCATCTCACTCTCCCTGGTCCTGCAGGTCTCAGCCTGGACCCCCCCTCCTGGGGAGCAGCATGCCTGAGGAATCCCAGCCCCTGTGCCAGGCCGTCACTGGCCTGTGCACATGCTGCTTACCCACACGCACCTCCCTGTACTGCCATCCCACCTAGTATAATGCGCTCCAGCCGTGGCCTGGACAGGAAGGCGGCCAGGGAGGGCCACGTGTGGAGCTCAAATCATGTGGGTGAGGCAGCCATAACGCTGAGACAGGAGACACAGGGACTCCTGCGCCCCTGGCTCCAGGCCACACGCCTGCAGAGGGTACCAGAGCCGCTCTGCCCAGCACACACCCTCCAGGTGGGTGCCCTGCACACACACACACACACACGCGTGCACACATCCATGCACACACGAACACGCCCATGTGCGTGGTGCACAAATGCACACACACACCACACATGTACAAACATGTGCACACACCACACACGTGTGCATGTTGTCTCATGACAGATGACAAACACGCTGAACCGGTATCTGAAGTACCTTTGCATATGGAAAGTGGAACTGTCCTTGGCTTAAAACTGCTCTCAAGGCTTTCACACTTATCCTCAAGACAAGAATGCTGAGACAAGGAATCTGAAGTCCCGTAAGAGCAGCACTCTGCTGAATGCAGAGCCAGGCTGAGCTCGGCCTCGCGGGACCGTCCTTGCCAGGGAATCTGGTTCTTCCCAACGGGGTTGCATTCTGACCTCGGGGGCAAGATCAGCTCTCCCTGCCTTGCCTTCTGCCCTCCAGCCTGCACGGAAGATAGGAAGGATGCGGTTCCCATTCGGGCACTGCTGGTCTAGCTGATGCCTGGGCTGCGACGGGAGGTGGGTGCCCTGGCAGTAGGGCAGAGAAGACCTGAGGGTCGCCGAGATTAGGCAGTGTTTACATTTTATTTTTCTTTCGGTAGGAGGGGCCTTTCCCCAAGGAAGTGGCACGTTCCTTTAGTGACGGGAACTACATCTGTCTCTGCTTGTGCTTTGGGTTCGCTCTGCAGTAGACGAACCAGCGCCCGCGCCTCTTCACCCGGTAGCAGTCCCTGCAGCGCTCCTTGATGACGCCCTTGGTCTTGAACCCCAGGGCAAGCTGCAGGCCGGGCAGCGGCAGGCCGGGCAGCCGGTGGCCGCGCAGCCCCGCGGGCCCCCACGCCCCGGGCTTCGCGCCAGCGGCACCTGCAGCGCGAAGGGGTCCGGGCAGGGCAGTGGAGAGCGCGCGGGGCAGCGCCGGGGGGGGCCCCCGCCGGAGCAGAGGGCTCAGGGCGGACGCCAGCAGCCTCGTCACGAGCACGGATGCCATGCTGCGCCGGGTCTGCGGGGGACAGGGGAGCACGCCTTGAGTCCCCGCGCACGGCGGAGGGCCTTGCCCACAGGCTCCACCCCGCGCGCCCCCGCGCGCCCCCGCCCCTCCGCCGGCATTCGGGCCCCCGCCTCAGCCCCACCCCCACCCCCCCCCGCGCGCCCCCGCCCCTCCGCCCGCGCCCTGCAGCCCCGGCCCCCGGGGGGCTCGGAGGGCCGGGGCCGCGGCGGGAAGCGCCGGCCGCGCGCCCCCCGCGCGCCCCCGCCCCTCCGCCGGCATTCGGGCCCCCGCCTCAGCCCCACCCCCACCCCACCCCGCGCGCCCCCGCCCCTCCGCCCGCGCCCTGCAGCCCCGGCCCCCGGGGGGCTCGGAGGACCGGGGCCTCAGCCCCACCCCCACCCCACCCCACCCCGCGCGCCCCCGCCCCTCCGCCCGCGCCCTGCAGCCCCGGCCCCCGGGGGCTCGGAGGGCCGGGGCCGCGGCGGGAAGCGCCGGCCCCGCGCGTGCCCGCCGGCAGGCCACAGCACGGACGCGGCCCTTCTCGGCGGCGGGGTCCGGGGCGCGCCCAGGGACCCCCGAGGCCCGCACCAGCTGCCTCCCCGGCGCCCGCCCCTCGCCACCCCCGGGACCCCGACCTGAGACGGCGACCACGGCGGCCGGCAGCGCGCCTCGCTAGCGCCTGCGCGATGGGGCGGGACGCCGCCGCCGCCCGGAGTGTCCGCCAGAAAGAAAGATGGCGGCAGATCACGTGGCCGTCCCCAGGGCGCCGGGCGCCGAGGCGGGGTCACCCGCGCGCCTGCGACCTCCGCCCGGGACGCCTTCCCGCCGCAGGGTGCCAGTGATTTTGGAGAATGTCAACATGGGAACGGAAGTAGATGTCTAGGATGCAAAGGAAGTCACAACCAACTAGACATTTTTACTTTTTTTTTAAAGATTTTTTAAATTTATTTGACAGAGAGAGACACAGCGAGAGCAGGAACACAAGCAGGGGGAGCGGGAGAGGGAGAAGCAGGCTCCCCGCCGAGCAGGGAGCCCGGTGCGGGGCTCGATCCCGGGACCCTGGGATCATGACCTGAGCCGAAGGCAGACGCCCAACGACCGAGCCACCCAGGTGCCCCCAACTAGCCATTTTTAGAAAACAGACGAATACTGAAGTCAAAACAAAATCTACAAGAACTCACTGTTTGTATTAAGCGGACATCCTGGGGGAAAGGAGGCAAGGCCCAGGGAAGCAGTGGAGATAAGCAGTCGTCCTAACTAGTTGCAGTTAAGTATCTTGTTTCCCCCTCCAACCTTTTATTATGAAACATTCCAATAAAAGCTCAAAGATTCCGGCGAGCCCGCATCTACCCACCGCCAGAGCCCACAATGAACTCAGTACACCTGCCGTTCCGTGTATGTGTCGCGAACCCACCCATCTGCTGTCCGTGCACGAAGGCGACCTGCTGACGACGGTCCACCTGCACGCCCCACCACGACACCTGCCCAGGTGAGCTTCGGGCCTGCCTGTGGGTACCCGTCTGTGGGCATCCTTCCGTCCCGAGAGGTTTTCAGTGCATCTAGTCTCTCATCACCTCCACCTCCTGGAGTCCAGGCTGTGGGTGCATTCGGCTCCTGGGGGGTCACCCAGCTCTGAGTCTACCCCCCATACCCACCGCCCTTGTCCATCTGGGCGCCGGCCCCGCGTGACTGACCCGCCTGACCGGTCTATTAACGCGTAGGCAGTTCGGGGAGGGAAGCGCCGCGACAGCGAGCCGGAGTCCGCCCAGGTGTGCTCTAGAGCAGGGGGCCTTCGGGGCTGATCTGCATGGGGGAGGACATTGACTGTGCTTTACTGGCTGCTTCAGTGGAGCTCTGCTGCAGAAACCCCAAAACATGCCGTCCCCATGGCCACACAGAAGTGCGCCCTGCGCAACGTGAATGGACTTACAGTTCGCTCTAGGCAAGGACCCTTCACCAATAAAAACATTCTCTATGTAACCCCCCATGATTGTTACCATCGAATGTGAAAAGTGCACCTTCATTTTCCATCCTCCCCCGTCCTGCCCCAGGTAGGAATCACCCAACAGCTGCTAAGTGCTAACGTTGCGCGTAAAATCTCCCGCCTTTTCCTAACTGAGCCCCAGCCCAGCCGCGGCACCTGCGGGGCTGCGCTAGCCCGCGCGCACCGCGCGTGCGCGACTCTCCCAAGCGCTCTAAGTCCCGGCCGCGAGGGCCCCGCGGAGCTGTGCGCATGCGTCGGCGTGCCGGTGCGCCGGGTCAGGGGTCAGCCCGCAAGATGGCGGCGGCAGTGACCTTCTGCCGGCTGCTGGGCCGGAGCGGCACGGCGGCGCTGAGCCCGCCCCGGGGCGCCAGGTGTTTGGCGGCGCGGACGTCGCCGGCCGGGGAGAAGATTACGCACACCGGGCAGGTAACTGCCGCGGCGTGGAGGCCGCCCTCCACCTCGGCTCCCCGTGCCTCCGGTGCCTGCGGCCGGGGGACGCGCTGGCCGGTGGGCAGGGCTCCCGGGGACGCGGCGGCCTCGCGCCGTGCCTCGCAGGCCGGATCCTGTGCCAGCCCCGCCGCAGGCCCGGCTCGAGGCGTGTCGGGTCTCCGGCTCCGACCGGCGGCAGTGAGGGCGCACCGGCCCTCGGCTTCCGCCCGCTGCCGAGCGGAGCCCGCCGCGCGACTCGCACCTGCGCGGTGCCGAGTGGTGGTCGTAGCATCTCGCCTGAAGCGCAAGGCGGTGCTGAACTGTAGGCAGAAGCCGGCAGGCGTCACGGCGTCGCCCAGCAGGGCTTTGAACTGCCGTCTGGGGAGGAAGTCGGGGTGCCACTCCTGCCCTGCTGCGTCTCTGCCCTTGCCAGCTGCTCCTTGCTACCTGCCGTTCGCGTTGTTGCCCCTTCTCACCGTGGCGTCTTGCCCAAGTACGCCCCTGGTTACGCAGCCATCCTCTGTCGCTCCTGTGTTTGGCACGAGGGGCCAGAATGTTCAGGAAAACACTTCGCTGTAATGTTTACTGTTGATAGTAAGTGACGTCTTTCAGAGTTAGGCTGCAAAAATCACATATGGTCTTTTTTTTTTCTTCCAGGTTTATGATGATAAAGACTATAGGAAAATTCGGTTTGTGGGTCGTCAGAAAGAGGTAAGCGAGAGATCTAGTAAAAGAGAGGTAGGCTTTCATAAAACCTTTACAGAACCAATGAGAAGTGAAAGTTAATATATAGCCTTAAATTCTCAAATTGTGAGCCCCCGAGAAGCTCTGGAATTCTGCATTTCTTTGAAATGTCTACGTGTCTACATTTGTTCTGTTTTGTTTCCTTCTGAAATACATAAGATGACATCTTGTAAGTGTAGTCTGGGTTTAGGTATAAATGGGAGTGGTCCTTTTCTTTTTTCTCCATTTCTGTGCCTTATACCCCTGAGACCCTCAGATTAAAGGAAGTCACATCAACTTTTAAAAATTACTCTTTCAGTCACCTTTTGGGGTATTCTTCTCCTATTTCCTGCCAAACAGACGAGCTTGTGTTCCTACAGGGACTGACACTCCCGAGCTGAACCTGGCAGGAGGACTGTCCTGCCCTGATTGGGTGTGTCCCACCATGACTGCAGGAGAGAGGATGCTGATAGTGGTGTCCCCCACCTACAGGAGCCTGTGCTCTTCCTAATTCCTCTCTCACCCGCGCTGCCAGATCCCCAGTCTTCGTGCACGTCGGTTCGGGTGGTCTTCCATTTCTGAGTCCTTTTGTCCTCCATAGTCCCCTTGAGCCCCTCCTTCCCTCAGTCAGCCTTCTTGTTACTCCTCAGTGTCTTAAGTTGTGTTTCCCCTCCCCTCTGATCTTGGTTACATAGTTCATTCTTAAATTCTCATTTTCTACTTCCATTTCTGCCTTGTGGGTGTCGGGGGTAGGAGCAGGCTGGTGGAGACAGAGTTCAGTGGCTGGGGGGGAGGTGGGGAGCAGATGGGTCCTGAAGCCTCAGGGTCGCCCCTGCGACCTGGCCCCCAGCTCCCTAGCTCAGCAACTCTGATGCTTTAGCAAGCACCTGAGTCTGTCCCAAGCTCCTCTCTGCTAGAGACTCTGTGGCTTCTGGTTTCTGATTGCCTTAGCAGGGGCAAGGGGAGCAACTTAAAACCAAAACCAACCGAACAAAGTCAGAATTAGCGAAGCCAGTGAAGTGTGAACAGAGGAGGCAGAGCTGAAGGTGTCCGCTCACCCAGGTCCGGAACCCATCCTGGCTCCGGGTCTCTGTGGCCTTTTCCTGTTTGACATCGTGAGTGTCCTGGGGGCAGATTTTCAAGTTGTAAAGGTGCAAGGCATGTCAGTAAATGAGTTGTCCTCTGGCTTTCATTCTCTTATGACAAAAATTTGGCATTTAGTAGTACTGTAAAACGGTTTGGGTTTCCCAAAGACATTGTTTTAGAAGACTTTTACGTGTACTGAAAACTTGGACATGATGTGCAGAGGGTTCCCCTATGCCCACCTCCTGCCAGGCAGCCCGTTACTAACATCTTGCATTAGGGTGCTGCATTTGTTATGATTGATTACTTTGAACACTTGATGGATGTTGATATGAGCTCAAGTCCGCAGTTTATGTTGGGGTTCACTCTTTGTGGTGTACGTTCTGTGGGTTGTGACAAACTCATGTCATGTGTCCACTGTTACAGTATCACACAGAGTAGTTTCCCTGCCCTAAAAATGTATTGTGCTCCACCTCTTCATCCTTTCCTCCCCCCAACCTCTGACAGCCATGGATCTTGCTGTCTCTCTAGTTTTGGTTAGTTGTATTTTAAGAAATCCACCGAATCTCAGCTTAATCTGAAGAACAAGAACGGGAAGCTAGATAGCTGAGCTGGCCTTTGCTGAGAAAAATGGAAAGTATCTGTGTGTGGCTCTTGGCCACTCCTGACCAGACATGCCTGATAGTCTGCAAAGGAATCTGTGTGAGCCTGTGACGGGATCTTCCCAAGAGGGGACACTCACGTGCTGAAGAACAGGCCACCCAGCTCCCACCCCTCAAGG